CGAGCTCGTCGGGGGCGACGCCTTGCACACCCATGCCGAAAGAAAGAGTCGGGAGGATGCCAGCCTTGAACAACCTCGTTGTCTTTCCCTTCGGTGGCTTCATGCTGGACAAATTCGAGATTCCCACCTTAAACTTGGACGCTCTCTTCCTCCGTGCTGCGCGAGCAAAGGGCTGCATCTGGTGCTTCCCAGCCGCGAAGGGCGCGCCAAGGTTGGCAGGAGCCCGCGATCCACAGCCTGCCAGGTGTCCAAGCTCAGCGACAACAGCTCGGAGGATAATGCTTGAATTTGCCGCCGTCACCATCTTTTTCTCAGCCAGCGGAACGGACAGGTGCTAAGTGATGGCGACTGCTAAATTGGGAGGCAAGTTCGAGAAGCTGACTTACACATACACTGATATCATGATTCCATGAATGCATCGAGAGATCATCTACATGAGGCCCTGGACTGGTCCCAGGACGCCCACGACGCCCGACCATCGCTGGGAGCAGAAACAACGTCGCTTCGCAGATGGCGGAGGTGCTACCTGCAGCGATACCCCGAAAGTGCCAGAAGAGAGCCGCAAAGGACCCGTCCATGAGGAACACCCTTTATCAACTTGCACGTGAAGAGCGCGTACGCTAGGACGTGCAAGGGGAGCTTTGAGAGCACACCTTGAAGGCACACTCTGGCCCAGGAGGTCCCGGTGGCAGAGGCGCTCGCAAAGCTGAAGGAGGTCCCAGAGGAGGGTTGCACAGCGCATGTGGAGCCCCGTGGAAGCCTCGGCCGCGACGCTCTGACGCCAGACCGCGTCGAGAGCACTGCGGCCCTGCCCCGTGGAGAACCCAGGCCCGAGGAGCCCAACCTGAGTCTCGAAAGCCCTTGAGGGGTCCCCTGTGGGTCTTCCCTCTCAGCCTCGCAAACCCACCGTGGTGGCCAATGGGGCGGCGTCCTTTGGTCAGGCCTCCCCATGAGAAAGCCAATCATACGCCGCATCTGGAGGGGCGCCTGGCCGACCAAGTCGACCAAATGAAATAATTGCGATCGCACTGCCAGGCACTGGTCGGATAAGAAGCTGAAGTGTTTTAGTTGGAATCCATCAAATTCGCACAGGAACGCCTTAAAGATCGAGCTGATGTGGCGCAGCTGCTCAGCCGACCGCGGCTGGAGAAAAGGCACGCGCAAGTCAGGAATCACGAGCTCGATCTGCTGACTAGGATCATCGCCAGCTGGCCATGCCACCTGCCAGCGAGACATCTCCTGAGCTAGACATGCCAGCAGGGAGCTGGAGAAAGGATCTGGTAAGACAGCGATGTCCGCATCCATCGGCTCGCCCGAAACCCATGTATACAAACGCCTGCGTCATGCTGGACTCGGCGGCTTCGGTGCACCACGATTGCCACGACTCCTTCGCCCTGGAGCGATCCTCGAGGTAACCGATGCGCGTCCAGGCCGACACGAAATCGATCGCAACATCCAGGAGCGAGATCTGTCGATAAACGGCAGTGGTGCTCCGATGCGCTCGGGAAGTCGCAGCACAAAAGAAATGCCAGAAAACTCCACCAGCCCGCCAATGCCGATGGAAAGGACCACCCACATGTGGAAACTTATCCCACGGACCCAGCAGATGGTAGTAGTACTTTTCTAGCTCCCCCTTGACTACAATAGCCCGAACTTCTTTGAGCCTAGCCACAACCCAATGCATCGGTCTTGCAGGGAACGCGTTGCGATAATGCTTCGTGGCTAACAAAGTACTGAATGGGGATTCCTTTGAACTCCATAGGGGCACCCCCTGGAAGCTCAGAAATCCCCTTGCACGTGCCAACGGCGAGAATCTCACCCCAGGCCCTGGAGCACCAATCCCCATAGATCTCATTGAGCAGTAGGATCCCTACGTCCTTCTTGGGCCCCGTGACCATGAACGCCTGTCCAGGGTCATTCAGTTGGGCCTCGAGGAACATTCCAAGGCGATCTCCCAGGTCATCATAGTTAGGAGGAGGAGCACGAGACCCGACACCTGGGGTATGAGGAACATGTTGGTAGGATTTCGGAACGCAAGCTTTGATATCATGCACTATCCTCTTCAAAACAAGTTCGGCTGGGCGATGTGGGCTGAAAGACGCATGCAAATCCACTGATACACCACCTGCCGCAAATCATTGCTCCTCCTCCACCTCCTCCTCCTCCTGATCGTGTTCGTCCTCCTCCTCCTCCTCCTCTTCCTCCTTCTCCTCTTCCCCATCCTCCCCCATTTCTTTTCCTTATATATAAGTTATCCCTGTCGCACCCCGAGGCCCTTTTTTAGGGCGGGCCGAGCGTTTCGCCTGAAACTTCCTCACCATTTATAACTCTGAAGCTTTAAAGCTGGCAACAGTCACACAGATGGAGGGCGGGTGGTTTTCAAAATGTGGTTCTCGCCTTCGCGCCGCGCGCGTCCGTTTTAAAAGCTTGCAAGAGCTTCACGGACTGAGGGCAGTTGGTTTTCAAAATGTGGTTCTCGCTGTAGAGCCGCGCACATTCGTTTTAAACGTTTGCAAGAGCTTCACGGATTGAGGGCGGCTCCTTTTTCAAAATGTGGCTGCCTCAGCGCCGCGCACATTCGTTTTAAAAATGTGCAAGAGCTTCACGGATTGATGGCGGGTCGTTTTCAAAATGTGGCTCTCGCCTTAGCGCGGCGCACATTCGTTTTACGTTTGCAAGAGCTTCACGGACTGAGGGCGGCTGATTTTCAAAATGTGGCTCTAAAGCTGCAAGAATTTGGCGGATTGATGGCGGGTCGTTTCCAAAAAATGTGGCTCTCGCTGCAGCGCCCCGCACATTCGTGTTAAAAGCTAGCAAGAGCTTCACGGATTGATGGCGGTTCCTTTTCAAAATGTAGCTCTCGCCTTAGCGCCGCGCACATGTTTTTTTTTTAAACATTTGCAAGGGCTTCACGGACTGAGGGCGGGTGGTTTTCAAAATGTGGCTCTCGCCTTAGCACCGCGCACATTCGTTTAGTTTGTAAGCGTTTCACGGATTGCCATGATCAACGGACCAGAACTGGTGTTTTGGAAGGATTCGGGATTATGCGGGTGCAACAATTATGTTGGTTCGCGGTGCTGGAATCTTAAAAAAAGCTTTCTGTCACGATTCCGGATCGTCAAGACGCAGCAGTCCGGATGATCCGTGGCGTTGGAATCCAGAGAATCATGTTTTGGCATGCTTCAGGGTCTTCAAACGGTTGTCCTCCAACGATGCAGTTCCCTCAATAGAAATGAACCTTTGTAGGGGGCTATGAAGGGAGCTTGGAGGAAGGGTTAATCCCAACATCGTTGATGACTCTTGGGTTTACACTGGCCCTCTTCCTCCTCCTCCTCATCATCATCATCAACAACATCAGCATCAGCATCATCAGCATCACCATCAGCATCTCCATCAGCAGCATCATCATGATCATCATCATCAGCATCATCAGCATCATCATCAGCATCATCAGCATCATCATCCTCATCCGCATCCCAATCCTCATCCTCCTCCCCATCCTCATCCTCATCCTGATCATTATCATCATCCTCCTCATCCTCATCCTAATCCTCATCCTCATTCTCATCATCCTCATTATCATCATCACCACCACCATCACCACCACCACCAACAAAAAAATGATAATAATCAGCATCATCAGCATCATCAGCAGCACCATCATCATCACCATCATCATCAGCATCATCAGCATCATCATCAGCATCATCAGTATCATCATCCGCATCATCATCATCATCATCATTTTCATCATCATCATCATCATCATCATCATCATCATCATTATCACCATCATTAGCATCATCCTCATCATCATCATCATCAATATCAGCATCATCATCGCCATCCTCATCATGATCCTCATCATCATCAGCAGCAGCATCATAAGCAGCATCAGCATCATCATCAGCATCATCAGCATCACCCCTATCATCATCAGCATCATCATCACAATCATCAGCCGCATCGTCATCATCATCATCATCATCAGCAGCAGCAGCACAGTTATCATAATCAGCATCATTTACCATAAGTAGCATCATCATCAGCAGCATCATCATCCGCATCATTATCGTTATTGTCATCAGCAGCAGCTGCATCCTCATCATCGAAACAGCTTCATCATCAGCAGCAGCATCATCAGCATGCTTCAGGCTCTTGAAACGGCTGCCTTCCAACGAGGCAGTTCCCTCAATGGAAATGAACCGTTGTGGGGGCCTATGACGAGGGAGCTTGGAGAGAGGCTTAATTTCAACATCGCTGATGACTCTTGGGCTTACACTGGCCCTCTTCCTCCTCCTCCTCATCACCATCATCATCATCATCAGCAGCAGCAGCATCATCAGCACCGTCATCATAATCATAATCATCAGCAGCAGCATCATCATCAGTAGCATCAGCATCAGCACCAGCATCAGCATCAACATCACCGTCATCATCATCATCAGCATCATCATCATCATCATCATCATCATCATCATCATCATCATCATCATCATCATCATCCACTCGTTTTCAGTCGCTCAAACTCGCCTGCTCATACTCAGACAATCTCCCTTTGTGTCGGCCTCTGGGGGCAGACCACGGGCCCCAGGGCCGTGAAATTTTACCTCGTCGAAAAACCCTGCGATGCCTCGGTGGGTGAGTCATGGCGCCCCCGGATGCGCCATAGGTTGGGCCACAGGTTGCGCCATGCACAAAGCAGTCGACCAAATCAACCATGGCCATTGGGCTTACCATTGCACCATATGTTGCGAAATAGGTTGCGCCATGCACCCCGCACTCGACCTAATCGCCTGGTGCCTCAGCCGCCGTGCTTTCTAAACATTGTACGGAATCCTTACAGCGTTCGCGGTTTGGGAAAACGACTCAGAATGAAAAAAAACAATCCCAGGAAAAAGGGTCGGGACTTGGAGGGCCGCGCATGCGAATAGAACACAACAGCAGCAGCCACAAAACTAGCAACCAAGAACAACACCACAAAAGAGCTGCTGGCGGGCCTCCCGCGCGACCGTCTCCAGCTCGTCCTCATGCTCCTGGGCCACCCCCCTTGCTGGAGGGGCGGAGGCCGTGCGGCGCGCAGGCAGGCGGCGGGGCGAAAGGGGCGGCTCATCCGAGAAGAGGGCGGAGGGCCTCTCTCTCAGAAGGGCTCCGAGGCATCCCACGGATGGGGGAGCTGGGGAGGGAGGGGGGGAAGGAGGAGGGGGGAGGAGGGGGGGAGGGAGGAGGGGGGAGGGAGGAGGGGAGGGAGGAGGGGGGGAGGGAGGGGGGGAGGGAGGAGGGGGAAGATCGGGCCGCGGCGGCCGTGTGCCGGGGAGAAGAGAACGATCGCCAGGACCCCGAACGTTGGGAGGCAACATCCTGGGAGGCCTTCGTCGGCACGACGACTAGAGGCTACCGGGCCCGATGAGGAGGCTACTAAACCAAATTCGGCTGGAATGCGCCCAGAAGTACGCCGGATGACACGGGACTAAGCCAGATGAAACGGGATTCACCGGATCAAACGGGATGAAGCAAGATTCGACCAAATTTCGACCAGGGAAAAACCAGCGCCGACTCTGAATTTAACTCTCAGGAGTTGCATACGAATGACCGAGTAAGCGATGGTGTCGGTATTGGTCATCGTCCATCTTGGTCATCGTGAATTCGTGAATCACCCTCGCAGATCGGTGGCAGCCGCGATGGACCATGACCATGACCAAGAAGGGCGTCGACAAGATCCCGCGACATTTTGGTCATGGTCAGTCATCGTGTGTCTTCTCACGACCACCCCCTTGGCGCGCCGCCACAGGGAGGGCGGGAGGAAGGACGAGAGTGGGGCGGTGGTCGTGGTGGTCGCCGCGTCAGGCAGGGAAATAAAAACTCCCAGAACACGGCGACGCGCACATCGCGGGTGCGCCCGCCCAGGACCACGATCGTGCGGACCCGCGCCCCGCGGAGACGACCGGGCGGGTGCCCTCACAGGCGGGTACCAAAACACGCCCAACCAGCGGCGGAAGCCCAGATCTCCGATGGCATGGTTTGGTCGATCCAAGCGTTGTGCTTTAATTTCGGCCTCTGGGGCCCGTTTGCGGGCACCAAGGCCAGCAACAACGAATCCAGGGCGAATAACTGACCCCAGGGAAGGGGTCGGGACCTCTGTGGCCACGCATTGGAGAAACACCAAAATGTTTCGGATGTCTTGGAGACGGGCAGGGTGTGGAGGGAGACACCTCGGGAAGATGGAAGACTTTCGCTTCTCACCTGCTGCAGTTGATGGCCGTCCGCTGCTGATGCCGCTGCCGATTGCCCCCGCACAACTCTCGCTTGCACTTGCCCAGCCCCTGTTCGCTACCCCTGCAAGAGAAGTTCGGCAATGGTTACTTCACCCTGAATGTGTCGCCTGGTTCGTCGGTCGCCCCTGCTTCCCGAATCCTCTAGTCGTCGGTCCCCACTCCCAGTTAGGAACGCAACGTACTCAGCACTGGCAGCACCCCACCTGACAATGTGTAGTACAAGACCTGCCTGCTTCCACTGTGATCCCTGCGCTCAGGCTGCGACGCGTCCGTCCCCCATGCCCGGTGGAAGCGCGATCCCTTCCTGGGCCGACCTGCGGCCTGGCCCCGATCCCAAGTCCATGGATTCAGTGTGGCGCACCACACGTGCTGCGATCTACATGGCGAACGTCCAACCGCTCGTGCGAACATCCAACCATACCCACCCGCAGTTTGCTCGACGAGACCCCTGCGGCCAAGTTTGCGGTCTTGGCGGCCGCCCTGGCGCGCGCACGCTCACGCGCTGGCTGGCCAGCCGGTTCGGCACAGATGCTGCGACCGCAATGCTGCTCCTCCTCCTCCTCCTCCTCCTCCTCCTCCTCCTCCTCCTCTTCTGGAAAATTCCCAGCGCGTCTCGCAAGCCGCGCTAATGCGCTGGCGTTTCAGTGGGGGCCGGTGGTTCGGGCAGGGCGTGATATCATGACGACGTCGACAACGGCGGCAACGATGGTGATAATAGCCACGGTTGCGGCGGTGATGACGACGACGACGACGGCAAGGCCAATGACGACGCCAAACCTGGTGACGACGACGACGGTGATGTTCGCATGCCACTGAACAACATGATTGTGATGATGATGGCGGCCATTGCGGCAAATGGCGATGAATATAACCGCGGTGATGCGATGGCGCCCGTAAGGGTGATGACGAAGCGCTCGCGCGCAGGTCAGGAAATCTGGCAGACCTTGCGTTGTAAAACTTATGATGTTTCATATGCGTTCGAAGGGCCCTATCTGATAATAGTTCGGGCAAAACTGTTTTCAATGATTTCGACACGCACGCGTGGCGGCGCGCGCACGTGACCAACATGGCATCATTCGATACGGATTCGCGCGCTGGACGCATGCTCAAGCAACGCAAGTGGGCCACGTGGTAAGATGAGGATACGGGCATGGACGAGATTGCTAAAATCCGACGGTGTGCCTCTGCTTTCAGCAAGTGCGCGCGGGCAGAAAAGCTACAATATGTTTGTTGGAAGATGTAAACCAGCGTGGACCCCAAACAGATTGTTTCTGCAACTACGTATTGCGAAATCTATGTGGTGCAATTAATTTCTGTTCGCAGTGAGTTGTCCACTCCACTGCTCGCGCAAACATCCCACCCACCCACCCGCAATTTGGTTTGCAAAATCTCTTAAGACCGTGACGGTGGGTACCAAATGGCACTTGGCAACGACAGAGACGCCGACGACGACAGCGACAACGACGACGACGACGACGACGACGCCGCCGACGACTACGATGACACCGACGACGTCTCCAACGACTTGACGACCCCGACGCCGACGACGGCGACGACGACGATGACAACGACGACGACGATGACGACGCTGACGACGACGACAACGACGACACCGACGACCACGACGACGACGTCAACGACGCCCAAAACGACGACGACGCCGCCGACGTCGACGACGACGACGACGACGACGACGCCGACGACGACGACGACGACGAAGACGACGACGACGTCGCCAACGAAGACGACGACGAAGGAGGAGGAAGGACGACGACGGCGACAACGACGACAACGACGAGGGAGGAGGGAGGACGGCGACGACGCGAACGACGAAGAAGGAGCAAGGACGGCGACGCCGACGACGACAACGACGAGGGAGCAGGGAAGACGACGACAACGACGACAACGACGACGACGACGACGACGACGACGACGACGACGGCGACGAAATAGGAGGGACGACGACGAGACGCCGACGACGGACGACGACGACGACGAGGGAGGAGGAGGAAGGACGACCACGGCGACAACGACGACGGAAACGACCACGACGCCAAAGAGGACGACGACGACGAACACGAGGAAAGACAGAGGACGACGTAGGCGACGACGACGACGACAACGCGGGGGGAGGGAGGACGGCGACGACGACGACGACGACGACGACGACGACGACGCAAGAGCGCGCGCGCACGCTTTTGTTAAAAATCCGTGTTGCGAAACCTTGTGTTTTTGTAGGTTTTTTGGACACACGATTTTGAAATCCTTCCGAAACCGATGGGTTTGAAGGTTTTCGGCGTACGCGCGCGACGACGCGCGCGTCTGCACTTCGTCTATTTTTTGGAGAGGATTTTCGCGACGGCACACGCGCAAGGGCGTTCGACAGATTTCGACATGCGCGCGCGAAGCCCGTGTAATAGCATATTGTGAAAATAAAAACCGATGGTTTTCTGAAGATTTCGCAAGAGCTCGCGCGGAAGTTTTTTTAGCAAATCACGGTTGCGAAACCATGTGTTTTTGCATGCTTTTTGGAAACTCGATTGCGAAATCCTTCCAGCACCGAAGGTTTTTGAAGGATTTCGGCATGCGCGCGCGACGACGCGCGCGTGCGCACTTCGTCCCATTTGTTGCAAGGGATTCGCGAAAAAGTGCTATGCTAGAGCAAAAAACATCACCGCAATGTTTTTCCACAAGGGAACCTCAGATGGGGGGTAACCTGGTTGGCCTGGGACATTGCGATTTCATATTTAGGATAAATATGTGGTCAGAATCATATGTAATTTACATACCCGAAAAGGGTGTCGATAACGCCGGGGGGGGTAGATCCTATTCTGTTTTTAGAAAGGAGAATCTACGTTGCGCACTCGATGTGAACAAATCTACGTGGTGCAATCTACGGGGTGCGAAATATGGCGCGTACTCTACGCGATGCAGCGCACTCTGCCGAACTTGACGGTGTCAAGTCCACTGCTTGCGCAATTTTCCCACCCACCCACCGCAAGTTGTTTTGCAAAACCCATGCGGCGGCAATTGCGATGACTGCTCGGCGCTGGCCGGCGCGCCGCTGCGGCCGCGCTAGCGCGCGCAGGCTCGCACGCAGATCGGCCAGCTAGTCTGGCGCGACCGACGCGGCGGCGATGGAGCTAACCGCCGACCACCTCCCAGCGCGTCTCGCTGGCCGCGCTGACGCGCGGGCACTTCAGCGCGGGCGGAAACTCGGGTGGACGCGGTACCATGGCAACGTCGAGACGGCAGAAAGTATGATGATAGTAACAATGCTGATGACGACGTTGACAATGACGACGGCAGGACCAACGACGGCGCCGATGCTGAGCAGCGGACGATGATGGCGCCCTCGCGTCGGCGATGAAGGTTTGGGACAAATTTCGACATGCGCGCGTGGCCGACGCGCATGGCATTATTTGACGGGGCCCGCCCCCTCCCCCGCCCCCCAGCACGCGCGGAACGGCGCGCGAATGATTTTGACATGCGCGCGCGAGAGGCCCGCGTGGTCGCACTCGATGAAAAGACCGCAAGAGCGCGCACAAATCTGTTTGGAACAATCATGCTGCCAAACCGAATATGTTAGATGTTTTCGGGACACTCGATCTTGAAATCAGCGCGAAAATTACGGTGCTTGAAAGACTCCAGCGTGCACGCGCGACGACGCGAGCGCGCGTGCACGTCGTTCTTTGCGTTGGCAGCGGTGCTTGAAAACTGCTAATGGGCGCTAAAAAATGCACGCACAAATGGTGTTTTGA